CCAGGCTCATCCCCTCTGCCTGGTTCTCCCTATTGGCTCATACCCTCAGCCAGGACCCCAGACTCATACCCTCATTTGAGACCCCAGGCTCATCCCCTCTGCCTGGTTCTCCCTCTTGGCTCATTGACGGCAGCTCCTGGGGTGGTTGGGCTCTGGTGACACCTCCACAGCTGCTGCCAGGAGCTGCATCCCCACTACCAGCCCATCATTGCTGTACCACTGCCTGTGTCAGCCCATTGCTTCACCCAGAAACAGCCTCCTGGTGGATGGAGCTGGCAAAGGAAGAGGTCAGATTATCACAGCACTGGTTTTATAATGATTTTCTGTGCTCTTTTGGCAAACTTTCCTAGAGTTCAGGAGCACTGGGACCAGAGGGGACAAGAGGACCAAGAAATGGGATGTCACGCTGAACCAGACATCCATGAGCAACAACAGCCGCTCACAGCGCCGTCAGCCCATACAGGTAGAAATGAGCTGTCTGACCACTATGAGAATTTCCAAGTCTTTCCCCAGCGCTTGTCCAGCTCACGTGGAACCTCCCCCTACACGCAAAGCAGGTTTGCTATTTAAATATCAGCTTGTGTACACACGCCAGCTGCTGGCTTTTCTTGGGGATCTGAGGCACCGCCAATATAAATAAGTTTGTGGGCTGGAGACTTGGTAGGAGTGTGGTGAGCCTCCCTCTTACCCAATCCGATAGGAGTGCTGTTTGGGTTTTATTTTGTTTCTCCCTTTGACGTGATTTCCAGGAGACACAAAGTGAAAGAGGTATTTCTTTTTTCTATTATTTATTTTTTTTAAATCATCTTTTAATTATTTCTTTTTAGTATTATTTATTCTATTTTTTTTAACCAAACTTTTAATCGAAGTTCGTGGTTTGGCAGGTCTCACTGATAACTCTCATTTCTGACTTAACACTGAGGGTGATTTATTGGACTACAGAAATGTGCTGTCTGTCTTGTTAAGAGATCCCATAGCCTAGGTTTAATCTAGGACCTGGTCTAGGGGCATAAGAAGGACAAACTGATTTCTTAGCCCTATACAACTGGGTCATGCTCTGCTCTATGCGATATCTCAATGGAAACGTCTTCTTTGAGTGAAACAAGAGATGTATTTCAGCATAGCACTTCGTTAACTTTTATAAGTTGGGAAATGCTGAAAAGCAGGATTTCAGTTGAGCTTTGCACTTGATTCTCTTGGAGCTTTTTGGTTGTGTTTCTCCCCCCCAAAACCTCCCTCCATTGGTCGGTTTGGGTTTTGGGGGCTCTCAAGAACAAGCTGCCTCCCGCACAGAGCTGGCGGGGACCGAGGGATGGAGTTCAGCGCGTTACCCCACTTCTGCTCTTTGTTTTCGAAGAGACGCTGTCATTTCAGCTTGTTGAGACAGGTTCTGACAGAAGCTGGGGCCGGGGGAAATGTTATCCCTTTTAGTCACTTTTCTTGGAGAGGGTTGAAGCAAATAAACACCCAAGGGCTCACCCTGCTCCATAGACGAGTCCATAGAGCTGCCTTGGACAGGAGTGAAGGAACAAGTGTCCTCCCCTGGTGTCCACCCTGTCCCTTACTGCACGTTGGGCTTCTTCCACTTAGGAGATCCATCACTTGTGGACAAATGTTATTTCTTCTGGCTCTTCTGGTGTGCTGGAAACAGCCTGTGCTTTGGAAACCATTACAGCTGCGTAACTTGTAAATGATGAGTAATGTTTCCTCCGGTTTAACTCACCCCTTGGATGAGTTTCCACTGTGCCTGTGTTTCTCCCCATCTCTTCTGCTGTAGGTGAGGCACTGCATCTGGTGCAGCAGCTTCCCTGGTGCCCTGGGGAGGAGTTGCAGGTGAACATCAATGTCACTGGGCAGGGATAAGCCTGGGAAATAAATTCAAAACTCCAGTAGATACCAAAGCGAACAGCGGCTTAATGGCTACGCGATAAACTTCCCTTCTCCTCCATAGCATCATCTGGAAAGGGGTTCCCAGCTACCTCTTATTCTCCTAGGAAAAATGACCACATCAACTCCGTGTCCACCTTCTCTTCACCTCAGGAAAGCACAGCTAACGTTGCTCTCCAAGGCGATTGAGGTGATACAGGTTTGTTGCTGCCCTGCTTGTATTTCAGGCCTTTCTGTTCCCAGAAGTCGGTCTTTTCTTCAGTTGCAGCTCTTGGTCTTTCAAAAGACATCGCCATGGCCTACGGATTTTGTCTTGCCAATGTTTTTAGTGCTGGCTTGCAACACCCCGACCTTGTTCTTCCTAGCAGTGCTGTTTCAGTAGGGTTTAGGGGCGTAGGAGCGTGGTGTGCACAGGCATCCTTGGCAATGTAACCCAGGAGGGACTGGTGTGTGTGATTTGAGTTACTGCAGTGCTAGGGATGAGCTTTCGAACACTCTTTTGTGATTTGTCTGTTGATGGTTTGTTGTCCTCTCAACTATTTTCTGGTTTTACTTCTCTTGTAGTCAGGAGGGTATATCTGGTGTTATTTTGCCTTTGAGAATGGATAAAAGCCAAGAGGAAAACCAGCTCCTTGCAGAAGTAACTAAAGCAGCGCTACTTTTTGTTTTATTTTTGTGCTTAGTTAAAGACTTTTGCATGAAACTTAAGCTGTTATGACTCAATCTTTGCTTGAGGATCCACAAGGGAGAAGGTAGAAGAAGCTGAACACTGGCTTCGAGTGTGTTTAAAAAAGGCTGGAAGAGTGTCTGTGCAGATGGGTACACAGCGTGTATGTGTATATGTCTGCATGCAGACACAATACCCACACTGTGTAGGGTGTATATATACAAACCTGTGTATGTGTGCATACACACACTCACACATCTCCCTGTCTGGGCTCTGAACGGATGGAAGAGTCTTTCGGTTGTGGTGTTTCCCTCGATTATAGCTGCGGGTGCTGTGTCCAGGAGCCTCAGCCTTGTTTCTATGGCAGCTACCCCTTTCAACATCCCACCTTCCCTCCATCCCTGCCTGGCAATAAGAGGAGCAGGAAACTGTTGTGACACCCGCACCCACGGAGGGGCTCGGAGCATGGGCAGAGGTGTCTGCAGATGATGGGCTCAGATGGGGGGGACTGGAGCTGCAGCACGGCCTCCCGTGGCACCGCTCTCATGGCTCCGCGTTGGGGGCTTCATGGGGCAGCTTTGTTGGCTTTCTTTCCCTTCCCCGAAGCAGGATTGCAGTATCAGAACAGCATCACGGGCAGGGATGCGAGGGAACCTGTGCTGCACCAGGCAGGCTGACTAATCTCCCTTTAAATAGCCTGGAAGCACTCTAGTGAGCTTCTGTTTCGGGAGCCGTGAGCGCACAGCCACGGCTGTGGTCTGTATAAATAGCCAGATCCACGCTGGTGAGTGGTGAACTGCACAGTCACTTGTTCTGGGAAGGTTCCTATTTCCTTCGTGTTGATCTGTGATCGGATTCTGGTAATATTTCTATATAGCAGCAGTGCTGCTGCCTTTTCTCAGAGCACCCCATCGGTGGTGGCAGTGAGGAGTGAGCCGCTGCCCTCTGGAGATGACAGATTTCATCTGCACGGCAATGGGGCTGTGCTTGCTGGGGTCTGCACAGCTGGCTCCAGCATAAACAGCGCAGTTCGGGCCCTTTAGATCAGTGCTGTGAGCTCCAAAGCCCTCACTGATGTTTACAGCGTCTGGAAGGGGAAAGCAAGGCACATTTGAATGCTTGCTGCCTAGCTCTGGACCTGGATAGAGCATCGTGTGCTTGTCCTGTCTGAGGAGGATAACTCAGCTTATCCGTGCTGTCCTGACTTGGTGATCAGCACTATCAAAAACTTTTTTAAAGTAATAAAACCATTGTTAACCAGGCCTGTTAGCTATGCTGGCTAATATCACCTTTTCTCTTGTAATATCACGAGTGGAAACTGTTCTCCAGGTAATGCAGCTGCATAGGCAATCTCCAGGTTGCCTCTGTATGGGCCTGAATTCTCAAGACAGCCTTCAGAAACATGCGGATGTGGGACACGGCCAACAGCCCACAGTGCTTTCTAAGATCTAGGTAAATAGGAGAATCCTCAACAAAGAGCAGCAAGTCTTGCTTTAGCCGAGGTAGGAGGCATCTGAATTTCTTACTCACAGAATATTGTCATCTTCTCCCTGCCATGCTGCCCACTCACTGCGTCAGAGAGCTCAGGCTTCATTTTTCTAAAATTTCTTATTTTTCTTCCTCCCTCTCTGCTCAGCAGAGGATATTCAGGCCTTCAGATTCTGGTGCATCTTGTCAGAGATCCTCCTTCTCCTTCTCCTTCTCCTTCTCCTTCTCCTTCTCCCTCTCCCTCTCCCTCTCCTTCTCCCTCTCCCTCTCCCTCGACATAATTCCCCTGAGCAGTGGATTTTTCCCACCCAATGCAGTCAGACACCATCCAGCCTGTTCTTTAACCCTATGGTGGAAGGGATGTTCTCCTTCTCTCTTCATGCTCGGTGCCTGCCATCCTCAAACAGGGGCAGAGCTGGCATCAGACTTTGCCTCAGTGTGCCGTTCACATGGGATTTTAAATTCATATTTGGCCAAACAGGAGTTCTGCGCCGGGTTTGGGAAATACCAGCAAAGACATTAATGGTCTTCTGAGGGAAAATACTACAATGTTTGGCTGTTCATCTCCTGAAGTACAAAGCAAACCCACAAAAATCCCAACTTGGACATTTAATGAAAGAGAGAAAAGCCAAACCACAGGCAGCTTTTTCACTAAGTGACTGTACTTACCTCACGTCACCCCAGCAAGACCAGAATCACAGAATATTAGGAGTTGGAAGGGACCTCGAAAGACCATCGAGACCAACCAGGCTGGTCTGGGGCGAGCCTGGTCTGTGCTGCCAGCCAGCACACAACACCTGGGTTCTCTTTGGAAAAGAACCAGACAAAGCTGAAAGTGGCAGAAGTGATGTTTCAATGCAGGATCCACTGAGCAGTGAGGGGAAAAGGCAGTGGAATCTGTGCTATCGTGTTTTGCTGGGCCAAAATGCAACGATCTTGTCTTCTTTCCCCCAGCGCAATGGCTTCATTTCCTGTCCTGGAGCAAGAGACGTTGTTCCGGAACAGCACCTGGACCTACCGAATCCCAGCGCTGCTGTACCTGCCGCGCTTCAGCATCATCCTGGCGTTTGCCGAGGAGCGCGAGGACGCGGTGGACGAGCACGCCAAGCTCATAGCGATGCGCAGAGGCTCGTACAACCCGACCACGCAGCGCGTTCAGGTACCAGCGCGGGCAGAAGACCCCAGATGAGTCGAATGGGTTTGCCCTCTCGCTCTAGGATGAGGGCAGCTTCTCCTTCTCCCACATCACAGGAGGCAAACCTGCCTATAAGGAATGCGTGTGTTGTAACTGCTGGGGTTCAGCTCCATGGGATTCAACAGCAAAGCAGCAGATTTTGGGATGGCTGTGACCCATCGTGGCACAGCTGGGGAAGCAGAGAGGGACGGGACAAAAGCAAAGATGTGGGGGAGAGGGAGAGATGGGGAGCGGCACAGGGACAGGGAGGAGTGAATCAGCAATCACTGACTGCTTTTTGGGGTTTTTAAATTCATCTTCTTAGGACAGATTTCTGGTGTAAAACCCAGTTGAGCACAGCTACTGTCCCCACACAAAAGTGTTGTCTGGTTTGTCTGTGCCAGGGAATTGGCTACCTTATTAATTTACCAGTTATTATTAACAGTTCTCTTGCTGGGTGACCGGGGCTGGTGGATACTCTATTTATAATGATTTTTTTCCATTTGAAAATGCATTAATGTCTTGGGAAAAGAAAGGAATTGTTGTATTTTTCTGTTCCAATCCCTCACTGGTGACTCTTAGATGACAGACTCTTAGGAGCTGGAGTCTGCCTAGGGAAGCAGCCTCTGAGTGCACCTGCAGTGCCATGCCATTCAGGTAACATCATGTGTAACCCGTCCTTCAGCTGTAATTCGGCTAAATAGGGCTCAGCTGGTCATGAACTGAGTCACTTGTGTTCACGTGCTACAGCTTCTTGGGATGGAAATGGTAAATATTCCAAAAAAAAGCTAATGCTTTGAATAGACAAAGATAAGACGTGACCAAAAAGGGTAATCAGCAAGTAGAAAAATGAATTAGTACAGCTTCTTTTACCGAACCATTAATGCTTTATAGGAATAATTTCCTAATTGCAATGTTAGTGTTAGAAATGTGATTGTGTTGCGTGCTATTCATTTAAAGAAGGAGTGCACCACTACTTGGAGTGTAGTTATACCTGCTCTGCGACCTATTTCCTGTGTCTGACAACTCGGGGTCCAAATTTCCACACCAGAGCATGTAAAGCCACACAATCCGCTCTAGCAAGGTGCCTCTGTGTAGGCTGGGATGTCTGTTCACATAGGGGTCAGAACAGAGGAACAGGAGTGTGAATGGAAAGGAATTAAAGGCTCATCAGACACTGGCTGCATTGAGATACAGAGCTGTCAGAGTAGGAATTCACAGCATCACAGCATCCCAAATGTCAGGAGCTGGAAGAGACCTGGAAAGCTCCCCCAGTGCAACCCCTGCCAGAGCAGGATCACCAGAGCAGTCACACAGGAACACGGCCAGGGCTTTGGGTGTCTGCACACAAGGAGACTCCACAACCTCTCTGGGCAGCCTGGGCCATGCTCCATAACCCTCACCCTCACCAAGTTTGTCCTCATCTTCAGCTTGAACCTCCTGTGCTCCAGCTTGGGACCATTGCCCCTTGTCCTGACATTGGACATCCCAGAGCAGAGCCTGGCTCCTTCCTCCTGACACTGCCCTTTCCCAATGGATCCCCAGGAATGAGGTCACCCCTCAGTCTCCTCTGCTCCAAGCTCAAGAGCCCCAGCTCCCTCAGCCGCTCCTCAGCAGGAGATGTTCCACAGTGTTCACTTTTCCAAGTGATAGCGCTTGTATGGTAAGGAAACATGGCAAGGCCGCTGTCTCACCATGGGTGCTGTATCCACACCTCATCTCTGTGGCCCTGCTGGACTCTTTCAAGCAGTTCCTGTCCTTCTGGAGCTGAGGGCCCAGCACTGGACACAAGATTGCAGCTGTGGTGTGAGCAGGGCAGAGCAGAGGGGCAGGAGAACCTCTCTGCCCTACAACCACCCCTTCTCATCCAGCCCAGGATGGCGTTGGCCTTCTTGGCTCAAGGGCACATTGGTGGCTCATGGGCATCTGCTGCCACTACCAGCCCCAGGTCCTTTTCTGCCTGTAGCTCCAGGCACTCGTCCCTAATTCAGAAGGACAGAGCCCACCCGTTTGGTGAAGCACACATGCACCATCATCCAAATAATTCTCACGTAACTTTTGGAGATGCCAGTGTATCATCATCCCATTTCTTGCTCTAAGCATTAACTTGCTTCTCATCTGTTCCACACTCTCCTGTAACTTCTATCCAGGCATCCTTACCCTGTATCATGGATCCATTTGTAATGGTGTCTCACTCTTCTCTCCCCTCACACGGGCCCCGGCAGTGGAGCAGCATGGAGACCCTCGTCAGTGCGCAGCTGAAAGACCACCGATCCATGAACCCCTGTCCCGTTTACGACGAGGTGTCGGGGAAGCTGATCCTGTTCTTCATCGCCATCCCAGGGAAGGTATCTGAACATTACCAGCTCAGGACAAAGACCAACCTGGTACGACTGTGCCACGTCACGAGCACGGACCAGGGACGCACCTGGAGCAGGGCCCAGGACATCACCCAAGACACCATTAGCACCGAGTACCAGAACTGGGCCACTTTTGCAATCGGGCCGGGCCACGGATTACAACTACACTACGAGGCCCGGAGCCTTCTGATTCCTGCCTATGCCTATCGTATCTTGGACCCTAACAAGCGCCCCATCCCTCACGCCTTCTGCTTTATCAGCTCCGACCACGGGGCGACGTGGGAGGTGGGGCGCTTTGTGGAGAAGGAGAGCGCGGTGGAGTGCCAGGTCGCGGAGGTGCAGGTCTGCGGCAGGGAGGTTCTGTACTGCAACGCCAGGAGCAGCGGGGGAGCCAGGATCCAGGCTGTCAGCTACAACCGCGGGGTGGACTTTGAGGGAGGCCAGCGGGTTGAAGCCTTGGTAGAACCCCCCTCTGGATGTCATGGGAGTGTCGTTGCCTTCCCACCTCCCCCCGATGCCAGATGCCAAAATAGTTGGTTGCTCTATACTCATCCTACACACCGAAGGGTTCGAAGGGATTTAGGAATTTACCTCAACACAAGCCCTTTAAATCCTGCGCTCTGGACAAAACCAAGCATCCTCTTCAAGGGCTTCTGTGCCTATTCAGATCTGCAGTACATGGGGGTCGGGCCAGACGGTTCAGCCTTGTTCTCCTGCCTCTTTGAATACGGGACCCACCGCCAGTGTGAGGAGATCATCTTTGTAATGTTCACGTTGAAGCAAGCCTTTCCATCCGAGCACTGAGTCTTCAGCCTTTCCATCAGCATTCCTCTGAAAACCACCTTTGCTGGTACTTCTTTTCACCGTCACTCCTCATCCTCCAGCAAAAGGGGTCTTTTATACTGCTCCTGCCCCCTCAGTTTGGTGCTCTTGTGGCCTCTGTGATTACAAAGTCTATTAAAGTTTCTGAAACTAAACGTGGGCTTGGTTTTGTTTGCTGTTACCTCTTCTCCATTCTCACATTTCCCTTTTGCTATCATCTGAAACATCCCATGCTGAAAACAAGCATGACGTTGTGTAGGGCCTCTGATGGACTCAGGGGTGTGCACTCTGACTGGATTCATCACTGATCTGGATGAGGGGATCGAGTGCTCCCTCAGTTTGCAATGACGCTGAGTTGGTGGCAGTGTTGATCTGTTAAGGGTGGGAAGGCTCTGCACAGGGACCTGAACAGGCTGAATCCATGGGCTGAGGCCAATTGGATGAGCTTCAACAAGGCCATAGGCCGGGTCCTGCACTTGGGTCGCAATAACC